AAATTAAGCTTACAGTCCCTTTAAAATCCACGTTATTAAAATAGATGCGTCCGTTTCAGTTTCAAAAGCTAAGTAAAGAGTAAAATTAACTATTAAATAATTAATTCTAAAAATGTCGGCAAGACGAAAAAGTGAGTTTAGTTATCAAATAATAAAGAAATATATTCTATTCTCTTTGGTTCTCACTAGTTTCTTTCCAATTTATATAAAAATTACTTAAACACCGTCTCTTCAGAAATCTATTTTCTATTGCAAATTTTTATTTCAAGTATGAGTAGAAACCTGTTTATTTTGAAAAGACCTCTGATGGGAAATTGCAGGAAAATTTAATCATTATATGTACAGTGATAACCAGAAAACTCTGGAATAGGAAGACAACTTTCAGGCCCAAGTTATGACCTTAAATAGTCCAATTACCTTCATAACACATTAATTGTGCGGTGTAAACAGACCCATTTCACTTTATTAGTGATTTAATATGTTAAACTAAAACTTTTCGAGTTGTAAAGCCATCAAATACACTAATAGTACATTAGAGCTCTAACATTTATTTTTAATTTAGGACGGAGCTTATCACTGTACCAGACAAATCCATTTAACATTTATTCTTAATTTAGAACGGAGCTTATCACTGTACCAGACAAAGATATCTAATATTTATTCTTAATTTAGGACGGAGCTTATTACTGTACTAGACAAAGACATCTAACATTTATTCTTAATTTAGAACGGAGCTTATCACTGTACCAGACAAAGACATCTAACATTTATTCTTAATTTAGGACGGAGCTTATTACTGTACCAGACAAAGATATTTAACATTTATTCTTAATTTCGGACGGAGCTTATCACTGTACTANCTCAGAAATACACAGGGGCGACAAACAGACTTTCTATACGCAGCATGGCTCGCGTAACAACGGTTTCCTTAAAAGTTTTGCCTGATTAAGTATGAAATATCAATGGTTGTAATTTAAAAAAAATATTTTTCAATAGGTTTCTCTACAAAAGTGACTTGCGAATTTTTACTTCAGGAAAACATTTAGGAATTATCAGAAACAAACATTTATAAGAAAACCCAGAAAAAACGACAATTTCTTCCACATTATTCATCAGATAAAGATTTCAAGGGTACCGTTGTGAATCGGGCATTGCTTGGCGAAACACTTAATATTATGATTACAGTCACTTTCAGAAAATATTTCTAAGCCGAATTGAAAATACAAAATCTTTATTCTTAATAATTTCAGACGGAGTTATGTCGAAAAATAAGCTGCTATGATGTGTTGTACGAGAACCAAGAAGATCTTGCAGCAATTTTACCAAAAATAATATCTGATAATAAAAAAATAGAGTTATAAAAATTACTGTCATTAATTAAACATTTTATTAGTTTAAATTAATATCAATTGATAGCTGTAGCTATAAGCGTGTTACGAACATATGCATAATTATACAGTTATAGAACAAAAAACTCTGGAATAAGAAGACGACTGTTAGATTTATATCATCTTTAAATACTCCAATGAAGTGGTGACAAAGCAATTGTGCAGTGTAAACAGACCCATTTAACTTCAGAAGTTGTTTAATAAAATACTAAATACTGGTAAAATTCATTGCCTTTAATGAACATAAAAACGCCTATAAGTATTGCTTTAATGTCGTCTTCCTTATCCACAGTTTTCTGGTTCTCACTGTATGCAGTATAAGGGAAGAGCTTATTACTTGATAGATTTCAGAAAGCTTTTAATGATCAATCTGCATATATTATATACTTTTCTTGTCTGTCTGTCTGTTTGTGTCCAAATATAAACGTCAAAATGGCTGAACCGGTTGGGTCCAAATTTTGAGTGGAACCTCACATGACCTCAGGAAAATAAAAATTCCTGGAATAAAGCGGAATTTTTTTTGTAAATGTTCCAATTCTGAGAAAAAATAGGTCAAAACTTAATTGAATGGCCGACTCGATCAGAGCATTTCAAGAGAGAGGTCGCGAAGCTCCCTAAAAGCCATTTAAAAAGATTTAATACTTTCTTTCTCTCATATGTCCTTTTTAAATTCTCTTCTTTTTTGTCTCAGTTTACAGGGTGCCCCCCCCCTCTGGAGAAAAAGAGGTGTGCCCGTGCCTGCAGCTAGGACCCCCCCCCTTAAAGCTACGGGCCTACGGTCTAGGGGAGTCTATTTACATACATCAATAAATAGCCGATAACAAAAATTACGTCAAGTTTTGATTATATAACAATTTTCAGTCATTAAATACTACTGGTAGAAGACGACAATTTTCCAATGCTTCATCATCGCTTCTACGTCCTTTACCCTACTTATCACCAGACCGATTGACGTGACAATGACTAGAAAAAGTATTATTTATCTAGATTTACGTATGTGATGATTCGACATAAAAATAGATTGAATGTACTTTGTGCATTTATTTGAAAGTTTAAAACATATAAAAGGAGTTGAAATTACAACTATGCCAAAAAAACATTTTTTTTTATTAGCTGGTTAATTCATGTGTGTTTTTATTTCAAAGAAACTTACTTGTAAATCAAATTATGTTAGATTTATTTTTGACCTGAATAACGTAGGTTGGATGATGTAGTACCAATATTTGATTACAAAAATAAATCCAAGACCGCGGCATTTCTTGTTAATGCGCACAATTTTGTGGTTGGTTCTCAGTTTGTTTTCCTATAACTTTCGAGAGTGTAATGTCAGTAGTGTATATTGTACCTTCAGGCTTAAAAGAATTTGTAGTT